TGTAAAGATTCGTTCCCTCTTTTGAGCTACTGTATACATAAATATAGGTCAGGTTCATCAAATTGTAGCAGATTACTCTTTGTTTCCTCTTCTTTCTTCCTTTGGTCGAGTTCTGATCATCCAGCCATTGAAGCCAGGTCAAATGGGTACTATCTGCAAGTATGGGTGTTCTTGTGCGTTTCCCCTCACTTCGTATCAGCTGGACACTTCACTCTCTGCTCTAGTCCTCTGTGCCTTGTCAATGTTCCTGGGCCCAGGAGTCCCCAGGTCTTGCCATTCTCCTGGCCAACCAGGTCTCAATCCATGTTGACTGGAGTCTATTGAACATGGTCAAACTTAGATCACAACTTCATTGCTGTTTTTCTCTCACTTCTTCTTATTGGTAGACCAATATGGTTACCAGTAGACTACATGCCTGCTCATGTATGCTCCCTTGAATCTCAGTCTTGGAAAGGGGTTTGCCCTGAGGGGACCCAACCACTTGCCTTGATGGCTCCCCAGCGAACAACTTGCTTGTTCTTATAGTAGTCAATCAGACTGCCATTATTGTTTTTGATTTTTCCTGCTGGTCTTTCTTTCAAGAAGTATCTTCTGTTCTTCTAGCCACTCCAGGCTGGCCTGCTTGTCCTTTCAAGTGGAAATTTTCCACCTCAGAAGATTCTGAATGGGGATCAGGATTCCACATATAGTCTTATGCAATGCTGTCTCCACAGGAAGCCTTCTTCACTGGGCAAGTTCTAGCCCCATTTTAGGTATTCCAATCAGCAATAGGCTGAAGATGGATTTATAAGCTTTCTATGGTAATGTTTTTGTGGCTATTCCTTTCTAGCCCCCTCAAGTGTCTATTTTACAATAGTAAGAACTGTTTTAAAAACTATTATTGTTGTTATTATTGAGGGTATGAGTAAGGTGTGAGGGTTAGGGCTGGGATTATGACTAGATTTAGGCTAGGCCTAGGATTTCAAATATTGTTAGGATTATGATTAATTAGGACTAGGGTGAGTGTTAAAAGTAAGGGTTTGGCTAGGGCTATGAGTAAAGTTTGGTCAGTTTTTAGGGTTATAGATAGGCTTATTTTTATTTATTTAATTGTTTCTTAAACTCCATTCTATTTCCTTTTCATTTGGAAGTTCTGTCTATTATTCTCTTTTTACTTTGTTTTCTTTTGTTGTTGCAACTGTATCTCTTGTTCTCTATTTTCAGTCTTACAGATCTGTTTTGGAGTCCTGGTGTGGTGCTGTGGACTAATGCTCTGGACCGCAAAGTCAGTTTGAACTGCAAGGTTGGTAGTTCAAGCTCACCAGCTGTTCCTTGGAAACCCTAACAGGTTCACTATGGGTTGGAACCAACTTAATGGTGCTTAACAACAACAACAAGATCTCTTTTACTTTGCATTTACTTCTGTACTGACGGTTCAAATTCATACTCCTTGGAAACCCTATACAGGTTGTTATGAGTTGGGATCGACTTTATGGCACTTAACAACAACAACATATCTGAGTTTAGTCTGGGTGATATTGTCATGTATGTTAGTCTGAGGTTGTCTGTTATTGCTAGTTTTCTGTCCAAAGAACTCCCTTTAGTATGTTTTGTAAGGTTGGTCTGGTTTTTATAAATTCTTTTAATTTCTGTTTATTTGAAAATGATTTAATTTTGCTCTTATGTTTGATGGACAGCTTTGCTGGATATGGTTCTTGGTTGACAGTTGGTTTCTTTCAGAATTATATATCTGCCATTCTATTTTCTCCTTGACTACGTCGTTTCTGCTGAGAAATCAGAGTTAAGTCTTGTTAGTTCTCCTCTGTAGGTAACTTTTCATTTGTCTTCAGCTTCTCTCAGGATTCTTTCTTCCTCTTTGGTTTTAAAAAGATTTATTATAATATTTCTTGGTGTTTTTATTTTGGGGCCTATCATGTTTGGAGTTCATTTATCTTCATGCCTTTAATGTTAGGAAAGTTTCCTTCCAACAACTCTTGAATAAATATTCTCTATATTTTTGTTTTATTTTTATCTCTTCCTGTCTAGAATTTCTATTGTTGTTGTTAAGGTCCATCAAGTCTGTTCCAACTCATAGCAACCCTTTTAAGGGTTTCCAAGGAGTGGCTGGTGAGTTAGAACCACCAACCTTGCTGTTCAAACTGAACTTGGCGTACAGTGCATTATCCTGCAGCGCCACACCAGGACTCAGGAATTTCTATTACACATAAGTTATTCCTTTTGATAGTTAACAGCAGAAATCTTAGGCTGTCTTTGGATTTTTTTTTCTTTTTTTATTATTCCTCTAGTAGATGAATAAGGAGCTCTGGTAGCGTAGTGGTTACGAATCGGGCTGCGAACCTGAAGGTCAGCAGTTCGAAACTACCATCTGTTCCGCGGGAGAAAGATGAGGCTTTCTGCTCCCGTAAAGATTTATGGCATCGGAAACCCTGTACAGGGTCGCTATGAGTCAGAATTGACTCCATGGCACACAACAACAACAACCACACAAGTAGATGAATATTGACAGATTTTCCTTCAAGTTCAGTGAGTTGGCTTTCTAGTGATTCAATTCTATTTCACTGCCCTTTAAGAGTATTATCTATTTCTGAAGTCCTAGTGTTTATCTTCAAGGAGTCCTTGTAGCGTAGTGGGTTACTGGTGGAGCTTCTAACTGCAAGGTCAGCAGTTTGAGTGTACCAGCTGCTCTGAAGGAGAAAGATGAGGTTTTATGCTCCTGCAAAGATTTACACCTTCAGAAATTCTAAAAAGGGCTACTATGAATTGGAATTGACTCAACAGCACACAACTACCACAACTGTTGTTAATCCTTTGGCTTTCAGGTGGTGGTAGTTGTGTGCTGTGGAGTGGGTTCCGACTCATAGAGTTTCCAAGGCTGTACATCTTTATGGGAGCAGAAAGCCTCATCTTTGTCACGCAGAACAGCTGGTACTTTCAAACTGCTGACCTTGAGGTCAGAAAACTGACTTGTAACTAATATGCTACCAGAGAATTGCTGTTTTTGTATGGTTCTGATCTTGTCAGTTTCCTAGCTATTTCCATAGTTTTTTGTCTATGTTTTCCTTGAATTCACTTGCAGTTTTCTTGATCATTCTCACAGTCCATTGAATTTGCTTAATTAGCATTCTTTTAAGTTTATTATAAGGTAATTCCAGTACCATTTCTGGTGTTATATTGTGACTGGATTTTGGTCACTAGTTTGAGGCATTATGTCCTGTTTCTTTGTGTAAGCAGAAATTGAATGTTTTTTTGGCGATTTTGTGGTGTCGTATTTATATTTAGTTGGTAACTGTGTATATTCTCAGGTCCTCACCACCTGTCTCCTGTGGATGTGGTAGAAACCAGAAGTGTGAACACAGTTTTCTGTTCACTGTTTCTGTAGCGTAGTTCAGGGCAGGCTCATGCACCTCCAGGATCAGGGGCCCTGTTTCAGCCCTGACCCCCCATGCAAACAGAACTGAGCAGAAAGCAGTGCTATTGGCTACTGGGTTAGTGAGCCTGAGGGCTGGTCATGCCTCTGGCTATTCGGAGGGCACAGGAACAAAGGGGAATTGTACCCCTCTGCTGCCAACCTCTAGCTGTGTCCTGTGCCCACAGGCTGCTGCATCAACAGTTGCTTGCAAAAACTCAAGTTGGCTGTGCTACAAAATGCCAGCCCATAGTCCACCCAGTTTTCTTTTCTCTCACTGCTTGTATTTAGTTTTCTCTTCCAGTTGAGACTCAGTCCACCTCTCTGACCTTTCCTCTGATGCTCAGGGTCTCCAGACTCACCATCTGTGTCTGTTTCACTCGGTCTCCCAGGTCTTTGTTGCTCAAGTTGGCTCAGGCATCTGCTTATGCCACCATCTTGCCCCAGATTCCTGTGTCATGGGCTTTGTTATTTTTTATCTTCATGGTCATCCTTTAAAATCAATGTCACTGTTGTTGTTAAGTGACTCTATCTAGGGTTTCTGAAGAGTGGCTGGTGTGTTTGAACTGCCAACCTTGCATTTGGCAGTCCAATCCTTATTCTACAGTGCCACACCAGGTTATTATTCTATTTTAGCACAGTTGGAAAAACTAAGGCCTACACTTATGCCTATTCATTCATTGATTCATTTTACAGAGTAGATATGTACTACGCTTGACTGTTTCAGAGACTAGAAAAATAAAAGTTGAAAGTTATATTCCCTTTCCTCATGGATGAGGCTGACATTAGAACAAATAATTATATACAGCAGGTGAGATTTTGGAACAGAGGAATGGTAAAAGTATAAAGGGTGGATGCTTAACTTTATTTGGAGAAGACCAGTGAAATGTTCAGAAAGAAAGAGATGCTTGCATTTGGTATTCGAGGACTTCATGGCACAGAAAGGGTGAGGGGTAGGCCGTCGTAGGTAGAGGAAATGTCATATACCACAGCTTATAAGGATGAAAAATCAAGCACTTTGGAAGGCACTGTAGGGTCTGTATGGCTGGTAGGATGTGTGTAGGAATGGGGAGGTGGTAGCAGGGAAAGATAATTCCAATGGTAAGAGTCCAAGATCCCCAGAACCTGTAGGAGACTGAGAGTCCTTCACAGGTCCATGGGTGGTCTCCTTGTCATTAGCATTCCTTCCCAGAGGCACATACAGCTTGTAAACTACCTTTACACTTTGTACATGCTCTTCTATGTACTCCCTCAGGTAGTCTACACATAGCTATGTAGTATCATTTGCATGCTAAAGAAAACAGACTTTATCGAGTGACCCGTGACCTGACTACTTGGAAGAATAAAGGTTACCAGGTGAAAGGACATCTGTGTCATTTACTCTGTGGCATGAGGTAATTAGGATGGAATAAAGTCCACATGTGACCAAACACTTGCGTTCCTCTTTCGCTAACCCAGTCATCAGAGTGGAGCATTAAATTGCTCTTCAAATGAGTCAGACCTGTTGTTCCCAAGAGATGAGGCTGGTGTAGCTTGAGCTCTGTGGACAAGTCTAACCAGGCCCATCACCCTCTTGCCTGTGTTTGTCTTGCAGCTGTGTAAATGAGTATGGAAGATTATGATTTCCTGTTCAAAATTGTTTTAATTGGCAACGCTGGTGTGGGGAAGACGTGCCTAGTCCGACGATTCACTCAGGTAAGGAGACTTGGACACCAAGGTTGTGGGGTAAGGGAAACCTGAGGAGATGAGTAATTGGCCCCAGTGTTACAAGCTTTTGACACATGCCTTTGAAGGTGCATCTTTGTTGTCTGCTAGCATTTTTTAAACCACGTCAAGGGAGCATGGTTCTATGGGCCACCAACACCCCTTGTTGTTTCCTCTAATGAAAGGGGCAAGTAGTTTTTCTTTCCGTGTGCAGTGTGAAAAATAGACTACTAGTTAATAATAATTCAGATGGTTAACGAATGAATCCGGGCATCAAACTGAACATTAATTAAAAAAAAAAAACCTCACAGATAACATTTATCTAGTTAAACTCTCTGCCTGTTCTTCCTTATATTCTCCCTAGAAACTCATTAAATTATTTTTATTTTGGTCAAATATGTTGATTTTTAAAAAGTTATTAAATGTGAATGATTCCCCTCAGGGCAAGCCCCCTTCAAGACTAAGATTCAATGGGAATGCACCAGCAGACATGCGCTCTGATTGGTGACCACGCTCGTCACCGATAAGGGGAAGTGAGGGGAAAACCACAATGAAGCTGGAAACTAAGCCCTACAATGTACAATAGACTCCTGTGAACCCGGGTGGAGACCTGGTTGGCCAGCAGTGTGGAAAGACCTGGGGACTCTTGGGCCCAGAGTCAGTGACATAGCCACAGAGGACTAGAGTGGAGAGTGAAGCATCCAGCTGGTAAGAAGACAGGGCATATGCATAAGAACACCCATATGTGCAGATAATACCCACTCTACCTGGCTTCAATGACTGGATGATCAGAGCTCAACTAGAAGAAGAAAGAAAAGGGAAAAAAAATAGTAAACTGATACAATTTAATGAACTTGATCTACACCTATGGACGTAGTAGCTCAAAAGAGGGAACAAATCTTTACAGCAAGGATCATTCCCACCCCTCCATACACAAAGTAGACAGGGATGGGCAAGGCAACTTGAACATTGGCTACCCAAAATGGGGGAGGGGGGGGCTACAAAGGCAAGAAGTGACTGGCTTTCAAGAGGGAGCCTAAATCCAGAGGGCATGGAGGAAGGTAGAATTTCCACTGAGTAGTATCCAATCTGTCTGGGCAGGGCTAATGAAAGGAGATGTGGATAGGTCCCTTGTGGTACAATGGTGAATAATTGTTATCAGCACTGACTGTGAGGGTCAGAAATGTAAAGGTAGACGTTTTCTAGCAAAAGGAAGAGAGTGATTGACTATGCAGTCCAGGAGCCAAGGTCCCTGGAACCATTAAAGGAGAAGAGAGGAGTGTGAGACCCTACCCATAGAAGCAATGATGCCAGAGATGGAGGCAGAGACAATGACATGGAGAGGTGGAGCGGCTGGGGACTCTAGACCCAGAGAGGGAGAAAGGACGTGTGCTGATGACCAGGGGAGGCGGGGGGACCAGGCTTGCAGGACATACCCTTTTGTTGATTGATGATGCATGGAGGGGATTGTAACCATGGTATGAAACGATATGTGATAGGATGAATGTAAAACTAATGCTTTCCCATGTAAACTATCCCATAATTCACAATAAAACATTAAAAAAAAAAATGTGAATGAGATGGGAACAGTGAAGAATGATCTGAATTGAATTGAATGTTTCCTCAGAGTTGAGTCTACATCATGCGACTGAACTATAAGGTTTTCATTTGGGCTGCGCTTTTGAAAATTGCTGCCCAGAGATTGTATTCTTTTTCAAATTAGTAAGAAATTATTCTGAAGTTGACCTTCTTCTGTATTTTTCCCTAAGGAAATATGAATGGGACATTTGTCAGGATCATCATCCATGCATCTTGCATTTTCATAACGTGGGTTGTTGGGGAACGTCACAGCTTTTCTACCTAAGGCAAAGAGAGAACCCAGTGCTGGGGAAAAAACATTGGCTTGAGAGCCCAGACACAGACTGTATTCCTGGTTCTGCCCCTGGTTTGGCTTGTGAACCTGGATAAATTTCCTCCCTTTCTTGGGCCTCCTGCTGAACATCTTGGGCCAGACAATCTCCAAAGCCTCTTTTGATCTGACAGTTTGTGGTTCTGTGGAAAACTGGAGAGGCAAATAGGATACACAAAGGGCTCTCAGGAAGAGTTGGCTTTGGAAATGTAAGGCTGTTTCCCATGATAAATGAACACAGAACAGAACTCATGCTTTTTATCAAGACTTGGCCTAGTGAAATTAAAAGAAAAAGATAATGGGCATCTGGGCTCAGTCAACCACCATGAAGTTATTTTAAAAAACTTCAAATGGTTTTACTTCCACCTAACATTAGTAATTCTTTTTGCTTTTGGCAGGAGGACAAGACTGCAGAGACAGAGACGTTTTAGTCCCTTTATCAAAAAATCCCCTTGCCCTGTCACTGAAAGATTCCTTCAAAGATCATTTAATCTACTCTTTTAATTTTGTATTCTGAAAAGTTCAGGTCTAGAGACACTGAATGTCTTGCTAGGATTTCCCATCCTATTTGGTGGTAGGGCTAAGATTAGAACCCAGATCTACTGGTTCTCATCCTGATAATTTTATCTTCTGCATGGTCTAGCTTGAGACCATAGGAATCTGACCTTTTTAAAAGCATAAACCTTGTCATTAAAGACGAAAATGCTTTTATTTATTTATTTTTAAATGTTTTTAGTTTTGAAAGCTAAATTTACGTCATGCAAATTACCCTTTTCTAATTTTTCTTTTCTGTTCACTTTTTATACTTCCCAGCCCCTCAACTTCTCCAAAAATTCTTGTTTCGTAGCAGAATTATGCTTTTTTTTTGGTTATTTAGTGGGCAGTTAAAATGAATTGGAAAAGGAAATGAAAATAAAATGAATTGGATTCAACTGTTTTTCAGTTGTGAGAATTGAGGAACAAAATGACAGGGGAAACATTGTGAAGGGTTTGTTTTATTTTTTGGTGTTTGATAGGCTATAAACAGCTGGAGCTATTAGTCTGGTAATTTTGTGATTGCGACAAGCCAAAAAAGAAGGAAATTGATTCAATACTTACAAGTAAAGTTAAGAATATTATCTTTTTACTTTTGCAGACATGCGGTGGAGCATTTTCTGCTGGTTTGAAGAGCAGTCTTTTAAGTTTAAACTTTTAAAGAACCCTCTTATTAGGGAATGGATTTAATTAAAGATGCTCCAATTCTAACTGCCAGAGCCATATGTTTTCATATATAACACACCATGTTAATAATGTGCACACACATACACTCAGAGTATGCACAGGAAACTAATGCACAAGGGATTGCATAGTTTGAAAACGCCACATAGCACGCATGTTACTTGTGTAGAGTTATGGTAGTAAAGTTCATTTTAATTTCTGGAACTTTTGGAACACAAGGGATGAGGGAAAGGAAACTAGAAAAAGGTTCTTGTTAGAATTCCTTCCTACCTCCAATCTGTTCCCCAAGTTTACAGAAAATATTATGTAATAGTAAATTACATTAAACATACAATTTTGCTAAAATTCAGTTCTTCTGGTTAAGCTTCCAGCTTGAGGTAAAGCTGTTTTGAGTTTGAAGTACTCATTGAATTTGGTTTTCATGCTCTTTGAATTTGAGAACGTTTAATTTTGAGAGTAGTTCAGAGATCGTTTATTCATTGCCTCATTTTCTTACACACATACCTCCTCCCAATTTAAAAGGCCCAGAGAGAGGAATGATTTGCTTGAGGTCATACAGAGATCCTAAGGCTACTGCCTCCTTCTTTAGTTTCATTTCTATCATACTGTGTGCTTAAATGACTATTAATTTTCTTTCCAGTGTTATTGACTCTGAATTCCTGTAATTGTATGTATATCTATAATTGCAAAGCCTCATTGTCATACTCATGGTTTTCATGCTGAGTACTTGTTTATTTTTTTTCATATTGGTTTTCCACCCTAGTACTATCCATGCACTAAACTGCTAACCAATTTTTAAGCTTTGTATATTCTTGATTTGCTGCATTTAGAGTAACTATCCATTTTACCCCCAACCCTAACAATTCTGTGGCTCTGTGTTCCGTAGTCTCATCCTTGTGTCTGATTTTCTGTTTCATTCTTTGAAACCAAGGCCTCCACCTCCCTTCTCTCACACCTCTCCATTAGCCCAGTCTTTCTCTCCCTTTCTTTGCCCTCTTTTCTCTTCCTCTCTCCTCTATCTTCCCCACGAAACCAAAGGGGACTTCTAAAAGCTTGTGTAAAAATAGAATTAATTAAAAAATAATGGAATTTTTCCATGAACTTTTTGAAGCTCTCCACATTTTATGTACAAAGTTGAATTAACAAGGTTCCCATGACACTAACCAGCGTTCTCTTTTCTACCAGTTATGCTGAGCAGAAGCAAGGGCCTAGTAATGGGAGAATTTAATGGCAAGATTTGCCTAACTTATTTACTGTTATTTCTTCTTTAGGGTCTTTTCCCCCCAGGTCAAGGAGCCACAATTGGAGTTGATTTTATGATTAAGACAGTAGAGATTAATGGTGAAAAAGTAAAGGTAAGAAGACATTCAATGTTTAATAAGGTTTGCTTTGTGCTACGTGAAAGTTTAGGGGAAGTAGTGTTTTTTTAACATTTATTAAATCTCCTAACTAAACTCCACATGGAAAATCAGTTGCCTTGACTGAGTATATAATTTTCAGAGTTCTCATACTCCCCTTATGTGGGCAGAAAGGGCGGTGGATGATATGTTTATAGACTGGAGAGAGGCTAAGACAAATTTACCCAGTTTCCTCTCATGTCTGCGGTGGTATTAAGGATTAAATTTCCTTTTGGATCTCTTGAGCTAGGCCGGTAAACAGTGCGGCTTTCTCTGAACAGCAACCCCATACAGGTTACATTTCATTATTGGGTCATTCAGTCTTATTAGGTCATTTACTAGAATCTCTCACAATCCCCCATCTCTAAAAAGGAAGCGATACTAAGTGAGCAGTCAGGGAAAGGATCAATGATCTCCCCGCCTGTGTCCTCTGAATGGTTGGCACCTGGAAAAGTATGATATCTCCATAACAGGAGGAAAGAGATGTTTTTATTGAGTCTCTATAAGTGTTAGCCCCTCTGTTACTGTATTTAACTTAATCCTTACTGTGATTCCTGTATTGTTGTTGTTCAGTGCCATCAAGGTGGTTACGACCCATAGCAAACCTGTATACAGTTTCTGAGGAGCAGCTGGTAAACTTGAACCACCAACCTTGTGGTTCCAGCTGACTTTGCAGTCATTTTACAGATTTGAGAGGTTGAGTAACTTACTTATGCATAGTTACACAGTGTGTTGTTGTTTGGTGCCAATGAGTTGATTCTGACTCATAGCGACCCTATGCACAATAGAATGAAACACTGCCTGGTCTTGCTCCATCCTCACAACTGTTATGTTGGAGCCCATATACAGTCTGTAAGTGATGCAGCCAGAAAGCCAGGATTTGAGCCAGTTTTGCCAGTCAGCACACCACACTGCTCCTCTGAGTTCTCCCCTGCCATGAGAAAAGATGGGAATGAAAGTTTAATGGACTTGGCACCTTGAAAGAAGGAAAGGAGGAAGGTGATAGCACAAGGAGAAGAGAAATGTCTAGAGAGACTAAATCACATGTAAGGAAGGTAAAGCTAGTGATCTGTGGCACCATGCTCTACCTGCCCGTCAGTTATTGAAATGCTACTGCCGAATCTTTCAGTGTTCTGAGTCCCACAGAAAGAGGTGATGACTCTGAAAGCAGCAGCACAGTGAAACCTGTGGCATCAGAATTCCAATTAGATCCCAACCGAAGCGTTCCTAGTTTGTGTCCATGCCCTTTGCTTCTTTTTCCCATGTGTACATGCTTGTCTACCTTCAAACGTCTTAGAAAAGGAAAAGAAGTTCCATGATGCTTTGCAACATTTAATAGACACTCTTTGTCACAGAGAAGCGTGTAGGATGAGGTTCCTGATTTCCAGCCGCAACTCCTCAACAGTTTCTGCTCTAGAGACATCTACACCAAATACAGTAGTGAGTGGAGCAGCTGGGAGTGTTGGGGGACAAATGCAAGTTGTGAAATCCAAACAGATGACAACCAGAAAGCACAGAAAAATAGTGCATTGCGGTAGGAAAAGAAAGAACTAGGGTGTGGGAGTAGGAAGGAGAAACGAGTGTCTACTGAAGAGGTATTGGCAGGAAGAGAGGGGTAGGGGTGAGGCATGGCTGCCAACTGATAGAGTTGAGTCAAGATAATGACATTTTTAGTAAAGCAGTTAAAGATAATGATTGGCATTGTACTTCCAGATGTTTGGGTTTCCCATTTATGTACATATATATGCATGAGTTCATTTGGCTGATCTCCCATATGCCCAGCATGAATTAAAGTGATTAAGAAAAGTTCTCCATTGTAAACACATAAACACAAAAATGGCACCAACAGTCTTTCCCACAGCACTTTCTACTCACCTGGGTTCAGTCATTTATTGCAGTGGCACACACAACTCAGACACTATATTAACAGTTATGGGGCTTATTAGGGAAGTCAACAGGTTAAATTCTTAGGGCACAGTTCTTCCAGCCAGGACAGCTTTTTCTCAGCCATACCTGCAGCCAAGCCTTTCTCTCAGCCACGCCCCTTGGCCTGGCCTTTAACCTTATTGTTGTTTTTGCTGTTAAGTGCTGTTGAGTTGGTTTTGACTCATAGAGACCCTGTTGAGGATTTCCAGGGAGCGGCTGGTGTGTTTGAACTGCAGACCTTGCAGTCCAATCTTACAGCACAACAATGTTAAAAAGCTCTGCTGATGAATGCTTACAGGATCCTCCACTCTGCTATAGGCCTCAGCCTGAAGGACTCATTTGGAGCAGCAAACCTAGCTTCTCAATAAAGTGCTTGGAGGCATCCCACTCACAAGCAAGTCTCCTGACTGAAAGCACATAGCTTTACTTGCTATGTGAGCTGGGGATCCCACTGCTCTATCTTGTGCTCTGGCTCTTATTTCTGCTGCTGCTGCTCCCGTGTCGAACCTTTAGTTCCTAGGTTGAGAAGGTTCAATGCACAGAGATCTCAGGGTCCAAAGGATGTACCCATCCCTAGCTCTTCCTTTATGATAGTGAGATACCCTTCTTATTTCTGAGATGGATTATTTTATACCCACATTAACCTGCCTCATTTTTACAATCACAGTTGGTCCTGTTAATCACTCAAAATTGGATCACATCATTCTGTTAGCATCATCTTCAACCTTCTCTTATCCAGACCCATCAGAAAAACGTTCTTTGGTGGGAGTTACAAACACTGTGGGTGCAGAGTCAGGTGAAGTATTTCACTGCACAGCACCCGTCTTAAAGCAATAGGCTTCTTTTTCTTTCATTGCTTCTGAGGCTTAATTATTCCATGTATTCCATTTTCTGCATGTGATAAACTCAATTTGCTTATTACACTCTGTTAAAATTTACCTTTTTATAACATCTGATTCTACCACCAGACTGCAGATTACCCAAGAGAACTGCATTCCATAGAGAAACTCTTGACCCTATCACCTCTTTGGTGAGCTATAAAAAGTAAGAGTTTGTTGGTCCCAAATCCAATCCAAATCAGTTTGTCCATGAATCTTTGTAGCCCAACATACAAAAATCGAGAAACAGAATGACCTTCTTCAACCACATTAATTCAAGGGACACATTAACATTTAGACAGATGAGAAATAGCATCTTCGTCTCTTAGTAGAAGAGGGCAGAGTTGCCCAGACTTAACTAAGATTTATTATTATCTTTGTTCTTTAACATTTACTGATCATCTCTTATTCGTGAAGTTTAAGTGACTTTTTCCTAGTAGTCACTAGCAACAGGCAGCCCCCTCTGAGAAAATAGCATACATTGTGGCAAGGTTGTAAAACCACTATTCTAGAAAATATCGCAGTGTTTTAACTCTGAAAGCTGTTGTCAAGATGTGCCAGTCATGAGGACATATTGATTTCTAATGACTGACACTCTTTAAATTCAATCACAAGTGTTTTCAGTGGTGGTGTTGTTAAGTGCCATTGAGTCAATTTTGACTTTTAGTTACACCATATAGAGTTTCCAATGAGCTGCTGGTGAGTTTGAGCCACTGACCTTGTAGTGCAAACTGATCTTGTAGTCCAGTGTTTTCTCCCACAGCGCTCCCACACTAGGGCTCCTTCAGTAGCTTTGTTGTTGTTGTTAAGTACTGTGGGGTCGGTTCTGACTCATAGTGACCCTGCACAGGGTTTCTGAGGCTGTAAATCTTTACGGGAGCAGAAAGCCTCTTCTTTCTCCCGCAGAACAACTGGTAATTTCGAACTGCCAACTTTGAGGTTAGCAGCCCGATGCCCGATTTGCAACCACTATGCTACCAGTGCTCCTTCAAGTGGCTTAGTGAAACTTAAAACAATGGTCTGTTGTTCTGAGACAAATCCTATCAAAAGGAAAAACCATGACCCTAGGTTTGAAGCAGAGAATAGAAATAGCTTTGTCACAGCAAAAACCATAACATTTGTATAGTAGTCTTCAGCATATACAAACTTTCATGTACACCATCAAAGAACAGCTGCAAGGTCAAATCAAAGGAGAGTCTGTATGCTGCCAGTCCGTGGCAGGGACCACTGATCACTCAGCAGTCTCTAGCTAAACAGCTTCATCCTCTTTCGCTACATATGCATATTTATATTAGTCTCTGGAAGCAAAAGCAGCATGATAGTAATAAATCCCCAAGAAGAGACACTTTGTGAGTGACCAGGTGGGGGACAGCATTTCCCATTCACGAAGGGTAATCATAAAGTTGCCTGACTCATTTGGCCGGTATAAGGATTAAATGAGACTATCTGCTCTGGTAGCGTAGTGGTAATGAATCGGGCTGCTATCTCACCATCAGCAGTTCAAAACTACCAGCTATTCTATGGGAGAAAGATGAGGCTTTCTGCTCCCGTAAAGATTTACAGCCTCGGAAACCCTGTACAGGGTCACTATGAATTGGAACTGACTCCACGGCACATAACAACAACAACATCAAAAAAGAGTTGAACATCTTCTGTTTGCTGGGCACTGTATGTAGCACAGGATAAACTGTTTATAAATATGAGGGGACTTCCAAAAGGTCATAGAAAAATTGAATCAAAAGATAATGGAATTTTCCCACGAACTTTTTGAAGCCCCCTAGTATATCCTGAATTTCCCTTTGTGAAGCTTTCAGTCTAGTAGGGAAGACAGCTATTAAGAAAATTACTAAAAGTAATAAATGATCAAATATGTCAGGCGCCATGAGGGAGAATTATAGGGTATGTGCCGGAGATGATATGTAGGAGTGGGGAGGGGATCCTGGTGTTCTGAAGGTTCTGTAAGGCCTTCCTTGAGGAACTGATGTTATCTCTGGAGTGAATATACTTTGTGATCTGTAAAATGTATGCAATTTGAAGGGAAGATTATTATTGTTGATGTTGATGCTATTCCTCAAGGTCTTCTAATTTAGTCTGCCCCGGCATTGTCTCTGGAGACTAGTTCACTTACAGTAGTCTTCTGCTCTATACAGGGAGTTTCAGGATGGAGAAGTAGAAAGTAGAAACCTTTTTCCTTGGTTTTAGAACTATCATGTATTTGGTCTAGTAAAAGACTTCAGGAAATATGAACTTTCAGCAGGTTGCATATTATTATTAACTCCATTTTATAAAGAAAGGATGGAAGCCCAAAGAGATGAAGTGATTTGCTGAAGGCTTAACAGTGGTGGAGAAAAATTACTTCCTTTGTCTGCCATGGTATTGTTCCTGATTCCATTAACGAAGACAGTACCTGGATATGGTCATTTGATGGTTGAACTGGAAAAGGTCATGAGTTTGGATTTTCCCTGATTCTAGTTATTGAGTGAAATGCCAACAGTGACAGAATGATAGCTCGTTATGTATTCTGACTTTGTAATGCAGCGTTGAGTTTAAGAGCATGGACTCTGGGACCAGAGTGCCTGGGTTCATTTGGCTCTGGGACATGTTGGTTGTGACACTCTGAGAAAATGATTTAATCTCTCTGTGCCTCAGTTTCTTCATGTGTGAAACTGACATACACCAAAACCAAACCACTTCCATCTAGTGGATTCCAACTTACAGCGACCTTGTCCAGAGTTTCTAAGACCATAATCTATAGGAGTAGACAGGGTCATCTTTCTTCTGAGGTTTGAACTGCAGTTATTAGATCTTGTGGATGGTGCAAACAGTTAATGTACTTGGCTGCTAATCAAGAGGTTGGAATTTCGAGTCCTCCAGAAGTACCTCAGAAGAAATGCCTGGTGGTCTACTGCAAGAAAAATCAGCCACTAAACCCCATTGGAACATAGTTCTGTTCTAACCATGAGTCAGAATGGACTTGATGGCAACCAGGTTGATTTTTATGTGAATATTGTATTATATAATATTATATATTAACATATATAAAGTGCTTGGAGTAGAGTTTGGCACATAATAAATGCTTGATAAGCTTTTCTTATTTGTCTATATTTTTTATATAAAGAGGTATCTTAGTTATCTAGTGCTGTGGTTAGAGAAATACTACAATGAATAGCTTTAATAAACAGAAATGTATTTTTTCTAAGTTTAGGAGAATTCAGGGTGCTGGCTCTAGGAAAAGACTTTTTCTTTCTGTTGGGTGTTGAGGAAGTCCCTTAACTCTTCAGAGCTGCTTCTCCTGGACAATCTTCACATGACCTGGCATCTGTTTTACTCCCTCTTGGCATCTCAGCTTGCTTGTTTTAATTTATGGTCTAGTACAAAGAGATGGGGGATAAGATTCTTATGATTCAGTAGTGAGTAACAGTTATCATGACTAATTGTGATGTTCACAAATGTAAAGGTAGAAGTTTTGTAACAAAAATGTGGGAGTACTTAATATTGCAGTCCAGAAGCAGAGGACCCTAGGACCATCAAGGGAGAAAAGCACAAGCAGAATGCGAGACCTTATCCAGAGAAGCAGCAACACCAGAGATGGAAGCAGAGATGGGGACATGGAGAGAGGGAGCAGCTGAGGACTCTAGATTCATGGGAAGAGAGGGACTGAGAGCTTGTGGCCAGAAGGCAGGCTTGCAGAATGTGCCCTTTGGTGGTGTAAATTATTATATATACCTGAGTGTTAAGAGAGAGAGAAAAAAAAAGACCTAATATGAATAGAGAGAAATACTGTTATCTGATGGTACATGGAAGGGATTATAATCATTGTAATGAAACAAGGTGTATGATTTGTAAAGATGTAAAATCATCATCTGCCCTGTAAACTTTCACTCAATTCACAATAAAAACTTAAAAAGAGAAAGAGAGAGATTGAAGCATTCACAGTACTAAATTAATAAAGACAACCCTTCTTCCCCCCACCCCTCCGCCTTGCCCCCAGTGAGATTGTAGCCACAGGCATAAACCCCAAACCCTTGATTTGACTGATTCATAAAGACCCTATAGAACAGGGCAGTACTACTCTGTAGGGTTTCCAGACTGTTATAAGTCGGGCTCCTAACCTCGAGGTCAACAGTTCGAAACTACCAACTGTTCCGCAGGAGAAAGATGAGACTTTCTGCTTCCATAAAGCTTTACAGCCTCAGAAACCCTATGCAGGGTTGCTATGAGTCAGAACTGACTCCACAGCACATTACCACCACCACCATCAAATATTTACAGAAGCACACCACCTCATCTTTCTCCTCTGCAGTGGCTGGTGGGTCCGAATTGCCAACCTTTTGATTTTCAGCCCAATGCTTAACTTGCTGTACCACCAGGGCATAGAGGTTAGGATTCATAACACATAGTCTTTGGGAGGACACAATTCAATCCAGAGTAAGTGGAAACTCTTAAATAACCTAAGTAAGAAAATAACAACAAAAATAAAACAAGCCCCATTCCTTACCCAGAAACATTCAACAAATTGAAAAAAAATTATGAGATTTTTTTTTCATGACAGAAAATAGCCATGCAATTATTTAGGTGAAGGTCTTCCTATTCACAGACTAAAGCAAGGAAATTCTTTCCTTTCTGTCTCCCTAACCTGATCCTTCTTTCATGCCTTTACAGCTACAGATCTGGGACACAGCAGGCCAAGAGAGATTTCGGTCCATTACCCAGAGTTATTACCGAAGCGCCAATGCCTTGATCCTCACCTATGACATAACCTGTGAGGAATCCTTCCGTTGCCTTCCTGAGTGGCTGCGAGAAATAGAACAATATGCCAGTAACAAGGTCATCACTGTGCTAGTGGGTAAGTAAGGATTAATGAGGCAGAAAATTGACTGTGGGCATCAGAGAATTTTTAATCACACCAAGATTATGCCTTGGTTCCTTCCAAGAATATAGTCTATAGATATATCATTCATGCAGCTAACTTTTAATTCTGCAATTGGAGAGAAAATGAAATCGCCTTTATTCCATGGTGAAAGTATTTGCTGACTGAGTTTTCTATATGATGCAGGCTCTAGGGAAGAATTTGGGCTGTCATGAAATTTATGTGAATGGCTAAACATTTAAAAAATCTTATTACAAGATGATGAAACTGTTGGTCTAGAAGTAAATTATATCTCTTAAATTGATGTAAAATTCATTATTGAAGCAATTGCTTATTGCCTGAAAAATAGACTTTGCCTAATTTTTTCCCTTTTTTACATATATGTTGATTTCAGAGAGAGGCCACTAAGGGAAATACTGCAACTTGTTTTATTGTGTAGAAGGAGAATTGTTGTTGTGATGTGTCATGGAGTCAGTTCTGACTCATAGCAACCCTGTACAGGGTTTCCCAGGCTGTACATTTTGGGGGGAGCAGAAAGTCTCATCTTTCTTCCGCAGAACAGTTGGTAGTTTCGAACTGCTGACCTTAAGGTTCACAGCCCGATTTGTAACCACTACACTACCAGAGCTCCTTAGACGGAGCATAGAAAAAGAAAGCAAAAAACAACTATGGCTTTCTTTGGTAACAAATATATCCATTAAAAATAGAATTGCTGTGAAATGGACCAGATCATTAAAAACTCCTCTTCTGGTGATGGAAATATTAACAAAAATGTTTCTTAGGCATTGTTATATATTCTGAGGTATCATTCTCAAAAAATAGGAAAAATGCTTGATTCTTTTTATTCACCAGATTTCAAGGTAATGAGTTGGTTCTCTAGTATATTTTTTAAAGTAATCATTGACTATTTTATATTTTGAATATCTCTATGAAGTTATAGATTTAAATTTATTTGTTGTGTTTTACTCCTTTTACTATTATTGATGCTCTACTTGTTCCAAGTTTGATAGTCAGAGCTTCTTTAATTTGACCCTTGAGTTCATCTGACACAACCCCAGGAAGTTTTGATAACTTTTTTTGCTTTCTGGTATGACAGATGTTCTTAGATACATCTTTTGCATTTCCAGCATAGACCTGGAATTAGCCATTTCTCCAAAAAGGATTGTTTTAAATGGGAAGTCGTTTTTAGAGGCCACAATCTTAAGTGCTGGCTGACTGGCTGGCTGTGTGCCATAGGGTCAGTTTCAACTCATAACAACCCTGTATAGGGTTTCCAAGGATGTAAAACTTGACAGGAGCAGAAAGCCTCCTCTTTCTCCTGTGGAGTGCCTGGTAGAGTTGAACTACTGGACTTGTGGTTAGCAACCCAATGCATAACCCACTAACTTGTCAGGGTTCCTTAGTTTGCATGCTAGGAATGCTCATTGCTATTGGTTGGTCATTGTTTTCGGCGGACAGAGTTAGTATGTATGTGTGTGTGTATTTGTACGTATGTATGGTAAATTATGGAGTCCTGGTGTGGTGCTGTAGAATAAGCATCATATTGCTAAATACAAGGTTGGCTGTTCAAACCCACCAACCACTCCTTACAAACCCTATACAGGGTTGCTATGAGGCAGAATCAATACACCAACTATAGTGAATTATGCAGCATTCAAGATGAGCTTATATTATTAGTCTCTACTAACCATTCTGACTCATAAGGCTCCCATATGCTTATACTTGGTATTACCTTCACTAAGAAGGATGTAAGACAGGAAGCACTGCTTGCTAGTAAGCCTACATTAGGCATTCTTCCTAGTGAAAGCATTCTCCGATAGCACCCACACAGCTTTGCTGGAGCAATCCACCTCTTTCCCTTTCTCCCCCATTGCTGACTGCTGGGATAAGAGGAGACAAGGCTCACTTCAGGCCAGTGAAGGATCTGCCTTCACCTAGACACCTCCATGTCCCACAGGAGCCAGTATCTCTTATAAACTGTTCTACAAGCTTCCAGGGTCTTTTCCAGTGAAAAGAGTCACCACATGCAGGAAAGCCCAGCATTACAGCTTCTTATTAGGTTCTTATAGTTTGTATGTTGAATTTCTAGATTAGATGTAATTTACCACTCAGGGATCATTTTTACCATAAACAGTGTTGTCAAGTAATGCAGTTCACAATCACCTTTGTCAGGTTTCCAGGGCAATAAAGGTAGAGAGAAAAAATTTAAGATAAAATATACCATGAATTATTCACAGATACTTCCATTTATAATTCAAGACTGCCGAGATTTTACTTAACCTCATTAATTTGACACCTGTATTTCCTTTTTCCCATAGCAAACATTCCGGTTCCCAATGAAACCATCATAATTTCTCACTTGCTGTATCCCACAATACACACATAAATATAGCAGTCTCAGAATAACAAATCCAATACTCCCACCAATAAAATGATTACTGAAACAATTCAAGATTTCTTCCTTCGATCCTTTTTGTTCTTAGAGTATATTCCTATTAGAGATGAATGGGGATTTGTTTACCCTATCTCAAACTCATTGGAAGTAGTATGATTATGCAAGGTCCCTGAGTGGTGCAAATGCCTTGCATTCAACTATTAACTGTTCTGGTGTGGCTCTGTAGAATAAGCACTGGACTGCTAACCACAAGGTTGGTGGTTCAAACCCACCAGCTGCTCCTTGGAAACCCTATATAAGGTCGCTATGAATTGGAACTGACTCAACAGTACTTAATAATAACAACAACACTAACCTTAAGGTTGATGGTTTGAAATTACCCGGTGGCACCACGGACAAAAGGTCTACTTCTGTAAAGATTATAGCTAAAGAAACCTTATTGAGCACATGGGGTCAAGAGTTGGAATTGACTTCATGGTAACAGGTTTGGTGTTTTGGTGTTGTGTGTTTATGCCGCTCAGTAGATACACAGGTTCACGTGTTTAATTTTGCTTTTCATTTTTAGGGTTTCAGTTTTAAATTGAATTTGGTATTGATTGTATAATTGTGACTATATATGATTATACTGTTATATGTCATAGTTAGGTGCTGTCAAGTTTGGTTCTGACTCACAACAGTCCTGTATAGCATTTTCAAGGCTGTACATCTTTGTGAGAGCAAGTCAAAAGAAGGCTCTCAAGTCAAATCTACAAAACAAAGCACATTCAGAGAGGGCTAATTTCTATTTGGAGTCCTGGTGTGGCACTGTGGGTTAATGTGTCAGACTGCAAAGCCGTTTGAACTGCAAGGTCAGTGTTCAAGCTCACCAGCTGCTCCTTGGAAACCCTATACAGGGTCACTATGGGTTAGAATCGACTCAACGACACTTAACAACAATTTCTGTTCCTGTAGAATAAGCATCATATTGCTAAATACAAGGTTGGATGTTCAAACCCACCAACCACTCCTTAGAAACCCTGTGCAACTCAGTCCACTTCTTTTCATAAGTAACCAGTGTCTTTTTTAATTAAGATTTTTGTTTATTCTCCCATTAAAATAATAATCACATAATACATAGATATTTATAGGCTATTTCAGACAGGCAGTTGGATTATTACATATACCTTTTCTACTTTGCTTTCTTAACTCAATATATCCTAGTTCTCCTTTCATGGCAGTGTACAGAGAGCTAGTCTTCATCACAAAATATAGTGGCAAAGAACTCCATTATATGGATTAATCAAGTTTATTCAGTCTCCAATTGCTGGACATTTGGACTGCTTCCAGTTCTTTGCTATTACAAATGATGTTGTTATTGTTGTTGTTAAGTGCCGTCGAGTCGGTTCCGACCCATAGCGACCCTGTACAAGGTTTCCGAGGGTGTAAATCTTTACGGGAATAGAAAGCCTCATCTTTCTTCTGCGGAGCTGCTGGTAGTTTCGAACTGCTGACCTTCAGGTTCGCAGCCCGATTCGTAGCCACTACGCTACCAGAGCTCCTATTACAAATGATACTGGTAGTTAAAAATAAACATTCCAGTAATCACAATCACATTTGCTTTGCTTTACTTGTCCCTCTGTCTGGTTTGACTTCAAATCTGGAATTGAATTTTGATGTTTCTGAGGCTTCAGAAAGCCAATGATGATTCCTTCTTTGCCTTTACTACTGTTACAGGCAACAAGATTGATCTGGCTGAGAGGAGAGAGGTCTCTCAACAGAGAGCTGAAGAATTCTCAGAAGCTCAAGACATGTATTATCTGGAGACCTCGGCCAAGGAATCAGATAATGTGGAGAAACTCTTCCTGGACTTAGCATGCCGACTCATCAGTGAAGCCAGGCAGAACACACTTGTGAACAGTGTATCCTCACCCTTACCTGGAGAAGGGAAAAGCATCAGCTATTTGACTTGTTGTAATTTCAACTAAAGATTGAGGCAAGGAGAAGGAAGAGGAATCAGCAGCTGCCCTGATGGGCCACCAGTTACTAGGGGATCTGGCAATGACTATGACTCCTGCTCTCAGACCTTCTGACTCCTGTGGGCTTCTGAGCTTACAAAGCATGGCAGGCCAAGGGCCTTGTCTGCAGGCCAGCATTAGCAGAACATAAAATGGTTTTACCCTTTTGCGGTCTGGAGTTGGAGCAAAGCAAAAATTGCACTAGGCGCTCCATGATCTGCAGAGCATGTTGCTTTTATTTTTTTAAAAAGCAAGTAAGCGCATTCCTGAACACAATCCAGGGGGAAATGTACTGTAGGAATCCCTCCTGTGCACCGGTGGGAGCATGTGGGGACTGTTCTTTGGGACTTCAGTGGTAATCTTCTGGGAGCCCTGGTTTTCTTATCTACCAGATACACCAAAACTGGGAAGGCCAAGTACTTTCTCTGTGGTGTGTGTTGATGACCCCATGGGGATTTTTTTTTTTAGAGTATTATTTCTTTTGTCCACAGGCACTTTCAAGAACTCTTGAGATGTAAAAATGAAACGAAACCTTTGCCCCATGACCAACAGTAACAATCATTGTTAATATATATAAGCTCCATGACTCCTTTTGGTGCTAATGGTTCCACTCTTGCACAGACCAAACATTTTAGTACATTGATGTCCTTAATGTATTATGTAGAGATAAAAGAAATGGGGGGAAGTCTATGGATCAGCACTCTCTTAAAGTCTCATTACTACCTTTTCTAGGGTGGATCTTGGAAAAGGGAATACTTTTTCTTTCATGTTCCCCTCCAAATATCTATCATTACCCCCCTGTGTTCTGTCATCTTTCCTGATTTAAGTAAATGAAAAAAGTTTAAAAAGTGGGAAAAAAAAAAAAGAGTGGCTGATGATATTCTAATACAAAAGATTAACTGCAAGACATTGAGTAGTATGAGAAAACACACCAGATCTGACCAAAATACTGTGGTTTAATGGACTTCAGTCAGGGTTGCAAGCAGAGCACAGTCCCTGACAGCAGGTTACACCTTTTACTTCCAGTACTCTCCATCTTGGATAGACCAAGGCTTAGGATTTTGTAGATGTTTTTAGTATGATGTTAAACGAATAGCAACAGATGAAAAGTCTCACAAACCATTTTGTATATTCAATGATCTCCTTCAAAAATTCTGCTTGTGAAAGCAGGTTGAACTGTCATTTGTCACCTCCTTCATGTAGTAATGATACTCTCAGATTCATGACTATACATTCTTTCTTGTTTTTCTTTTTCTCTCCCCATCTTCACTTTTCTTCCTTTTCTTTTCCTCTTTCCACCCCTCTCACCTCCCTTTCTTACATGCATGTGTTATTACAAATCTTCAATTCAAATGGAGGCACATATGCCTTCTCTTAGCCAATTTCCAAACAGGACTCAAAATGGAAGACATGTTGCTGAATATGTTACTATTTCTTCAGTGCCATATTTTGATACCTTCCAATTTGTTCACTGATTTAAATGCAAATTGGGGAAATAATTAAACTTGTATACTGTTGATGCTGTCAGATGTTTTTGTAGTTTTCTGCCTAGCATAACTAAGGGATGAATGATGGAATAAGAGTATGAGATGTAATTCCACTGTTGTAGATGGTAGCAATTTCAGTTCTGATGTATTGTTTGAAAGTAATTTAATTTTCAAGAGTCATAGGGAGACATGATATTGATAAAACACTTCTAGCATTTCTCTATAGGTTTCATAGTTACCAGTCTTTTGCTTATGGGTATTATATCGTTTAAGGGACTGATACTTTTGGTTGGTCTCACTGTGTTTATCTTTGGGTAAGAGAAAGGGATCACAGAATTTGAATTGTTGTATTTTAGAATCTGTCTCCACAGGAAAGAAAAATCATTTGTATAAAAAGCAACCCCAAATAGTTTATAATAATCATTGCCTTTCTCACTCCATCTTTTTCACTTTGTCAGCAACTAAAGGGATCAGAAAACAAGATGATCAAAGCAGATAGAAGAACTTCTTAAACTGTCTGGAAATGTCCCTATGCTTAGATTTGGTACATTTCATTTAGAGCAAATTTTCATTGTCCTCAATACAGCATAACCCAAGTGCTGAGAATGAAGTTGCTTGGTGGACATAGAGAAAATTTATTAGATTGGACAAATTTCATTGTAAAATAACAGCTTCTAGAAACACACTTATATTCTGAAATTATTATCTCTAAGGGCTTAGTCCCTTCTAGCTACCCTTGCTTGACTACTATCAGAAGGGGATTAGAAAACTCTTCTCTTGGCCCTTTCTTCCCTTGTTACTCCTTCCAGCCTTTCTTAGTTTACAACCACCTATCCATGGTCATCCAGCAGGGACACATGAGAACATGGGGCTTTGTTTCTCTTTTTGTTCCTTGTTTGTGTGAATTCCAGATTAGGCCTTATGAACACTTGTTCACTGATGTGTCTGTCACAAGCTCGAGAACAGTCCCTGGTAATATTGTACATACTCAGTAAATGCTCATAGAATAAATGACTTAGTGCTAAGAGGGGCTTTTTGGATTATATAGAAATTCCTTCAAGTAGAACTTGAGAAAGGACACTAATTAAATGTAGTCATCTTAGCTCAGGCTAGGATCTAAACACATTGGTTTGCCTAATAGTTCTTATTGCTATGGGGATATTTTCTAAGATAAGCCAACTTTAGATGAAATTAATTCCCATTTAATGGTAGGTGAAAAAAGAGAGCTGCTTTTTCATAAGTTAGTTTGGCTCGGTCTAACTCCTGGAGTCCATTTATTCCATTTTTAGTGCGATCTTTTCTTTTAAATATTGTTATTAAATATATGGCAAAACTTTTCAATTTCTAATAAAAACGTTATCATATTCATTCATGGAGTCAGATTTGAAAGCGTTTGTGAAATCATCTATATAGTTTCCTAATTTTAGTATTTTATTATGGTTTTGTATAGAATATCCTCAAAGGATCTTACACTTTTCCCCTTGCTTATGCAAGGCTTTTTACTTCTTTGTACGCCTTTATTAAATCTGTTGAATTGTATTAACTTTTAGTTTTAATTATGCAGGGCCATTATCCTTTCTGTGGATTACTTTGGTTAGGCAATTAGATTTTCCTGGACTTTCTTTTTCCTTGCTTTTAGACATGTTAGCATCATTCCCTGCGTAATGGCAAGAAAATAACCCAAAGTGAAAAATCAAATGAATTGATTTGACCACTTTGTCAAGTTCTGATTTAGATCTTGGTAAGAAAGGAGGTAGAAACCACCGACAAAAATAAAATTCTGAATTAGTATTATTTATTTTAGGCAATTTAGATGTATTGGAGGAAGGAAGGAAATGTAACAGAGAACAAGCTACTGCTTTCTTCCTCTCTTCAGGAATATATGCCTTTGGAGGACACTGGTGACTTCCAAAGTGCTAGATCAAGTATTTGCCTCCTTTACCCTTTAAACTGGAGTCCTGGTGTGGCACTGAGGGTTAATGAGCTGGACTGAAAGGATGGTTTGAACTGCTAGTTGGTAGTTCAAGCTCACCAGCTGCTTCTCAGGAATGCTATACAGGGTCACTGTGAGTCAGAACTCACTCAATGGCACTTAACAATACCAACAACAACAACCCTTTAAGCTATTCCTTCGTTCTTCAAGTCCAGCATCACATTTCTGTTAATGAATTGTTCTGAATAAATACAATTGCAAGTTCTTTTGACTTGGTCTCTGACTAAATTAAAAACATCATTATACATTCAGCTACATGAATTAAATATTTTATAGTAATCTAGAAAGTGGTTTCATTTTTCCACATATCAAATAAATGGTTTCAAAGATAGACATTTTCTATTTCTTAATCCTCTGTGTACTTCATAGTCATAAATATACAGGAATCCCTGCTCGATTAGCCTCTGGAAGAGCTCTTCACGGTTTTGCCATTTCTTTTAAGAGTTTTATAAAACAATATCGGATTACTTACTTTCCTTCAACCATGCTCCTAACTGATGTATTTTTTTTTCTTTTTTTTCTAACTGATGTATTTTTAATAGAACTATCATAATACTTTTGAGACTTACTTGAAAATTAAAAGTAGTGGAAAACATTTGCTGCTTATCCTTTAGACTAAATATATTCCATGAACACTAATTTTGGGATAAAGGAGGACAGGTTTTCTTTCTGGATTTTATTTTTCTTTTGTGAGCCTGTTTGTGTTTGGAAGAAAAGCTGCCTGCATGATAGGTCGACAGTATACTGATTTAAGAAATTAGCATCCCTTGAAATAGTATTAGTGATTTTAGAACAAGGAAGATGGTACTTCCTTTCCTGTTCCTGAATCCCATGATGATAAAATGTTATAGGCACTTGTGGGAACCATACTTTAATGTTAAAGACAAATGGAGGCGTAAGTAAAATGGTGAAGGAATTTAAAATTGAAAACATCCAAAGAATACCTGAGGGATTTGGGGAGGTAGAGTCTGGAAAAGAAGGGAACAGCAATTAGTGTTCAACTATTTTAAAAACTGTCATTTGTAAGACTTTCTGTTTCCAAAACCCCACTGGATACAGTATTTAGGAGTGCATATTTGGCCTCCATGTCTGGAAGAACTTTCTCAAAAAGCTGCCCTATAATGGAAGGAGTGCCTAAGATGGTAAGTTCTTTGTTATCAGTTTTCAAGCAGAAACCAGATCAGCACTTAGCAAAGATGACGTGGAAGAGGATCGCAGCATTAATATGGCAGAGCTACATGATCTATTAACTTAAAATTCTATGGTGCAGTACTTTGTGCCTTATAACATAACCACTTAAATATTTCTTGACCGATAACTAAAAAAAAAACTTTAAAATAAAGACCCAAACTGTATCTAAGGAGAAGGCTTTACATTTGTTACATCAAACACGCCATTATACCCTATGCTAGGATTGCCTTGTCAATACATTGATTGAAATCCTGTTAAAATAACAAATCAGCTCTTGGATTAAATATTACACATCATGAAAACTTTAGTAGAAGCTTATAGTCCTGAAACAGAGGACCCTAGGACCATCAAGGGAGAAGAGCACAAGTGGAATGCGGGACTCTATCCAGAGAAGCAGCTACACCAGAAATGGAGGCAGAGATGAGGACATGGAGAGAGGACTCTAGATTCATGGGAAGAGAGGGACTGAGAGCTGATGGCCAGGAGGCAGGCTTGCCGAATGTGCCCTTTGGTTGTTTAAATTACCATATATTTCAAAGTGTTTTTCTGTACGCCCCCCTGCCACCCTCCTCCCCATCCCCCCCCCAAAAGGGAATGGAAGCAAATACTGTTGACTGATGATGCATGCGGATTGTAATCATTGCAATGAAATGATGGTGTAAAGCCGATGTT